GGTGTCTATTTAGATATCTTGTTCAATTTTAATTGGGTTGTTGAGTTTCAAAATTCCTTTGTATATTCTGGATAACAAATCTTTATTAAATGTGTTTTTTAGATATTTCCTCCAAAATTGTGACTTGTCTTTTCATTCTTTTGCCTAATCAATTTTTTTGGCATAAAGTTGTTCATATTTTCTTGTTTCTTAAATCTCTGCTGTATTTTGTGATGTCTCCCCTTATTGTTATTATTTTGAAAAATATGATCTTAGAGAAACAGAGAGGAAGGGAGAGGGAGAGAGAGAAAGAAACCTTAATGAGAGAGATCAGCTGCCTCCTGCACACCCTCTACTGGAGACTGAACCCGAAACCCGGGCATGTGCCCTGACTGGGAAACGAACCAGTGACCTCTTGGTGCATGTGAGGACTCCCCACCAACTGAGTCACACTGGCCAGGACATGATTTAGTCCTAATATTATTTATTTGCTCCCATTTTTCTTTTATCTGGATCATTCTCACAGGAAATTTGTTTTATTAGTCTTTTCAAGAATCTAACCTTAGTTTCATTGGCCATCTGTATTTTATCTATTTCTATTTTAATTTATTCTCTGACCTTTATATTCCTTCTTCTACTATTTTGGATTTATTCTTTTTTTTCTAATATATTAAGCCAATCACTTACATATTTAATTTTTAGTCTTATTTTCTAGTGTAAAAGCATATAAGTTTATTAACTTACCTATATCCTATAAATTCTCTTATATAGTGTTTTTGTTCTGTTAATCCTCACCTGAGGATATTTTTTTCCCATTGCTTTTCAGAGAAAGTAGAATTGAGGGAAAGGGGGTGAGAGAGAGAGAGAAACATCGATATGAGAGGGACACATTGACTGGTTGCCCCCTGTGTGCCCCTGACCAGGGGCAGGTAGGGAACCTACAGCCAAGGTATATGCCCTTGACTGGGAATCAAACCCAAGACCCTTCCGTGTGCAGGCTGACACTATAACCACTGAGCCACACCAGCCAGGGCAGTACCTCTCAAATCTATATTATAAATTTCCATTGGGATTTCTTCTTTGATCTTTCAGTTATTTTTTAAATCTCCAAATATACAGAGTTTTAAAATAATCATTTTATTATTGATTTCTAACTTAATTGTAATATGGTCAGAGAATGAGATCTGTATGATAGCAGTATTTTTTTTTCTCCCAATTTTTAGTAAGTTGCACAATGGTCTAAATCAAAATTAATTTTCTTAAATCTTCCTTGTATGTTTGAAAAATATGTGTTATCAAAATGGGTGGAGTTCTATAAGTGTTCCTTATTTATTTATTTATTTTTAATCCTTACCTGAGGGTATTTTTTTCCATTGCTTTTTAGAGAGAGTGGAAGAGGGAGGGAGGGAGGGAAGGAGAGAGAGAGAGATGTAAGAGACACACAAGGACTGGTTACCTCCTGCATGCTCCCTGACCAGGGTGGGGATGGAGCCTGCAACCGAGGTATATGCCCTTGGCCAGAATCGAACCTGGGACCCTTCTGTCCATGAGCCAATGCTCTAACCATTGAGCAAAACCAGCTAGAGCACGTGTTCCTTAGAAAATCTTAATAGTATTGAAGATATTCCTGCAATGACTGGTGATTCTTAGTGTCTTTTCATATTTGAGTGCTATACACTGAATGTTCTATGTCTTTTCAAAATTCATATGTTGTAAACTAACTCCAATAAAATGGTGTCAGGAGATGGGGGCTTTGGGAAGTGATTAGGTCATGAGGGTGAAGCCCTCATGAATGGGATTAGCGCCTCATAAAAGAGGCCCAAGAGAACTCCCTACCCCTTTGGCCAAGTGGGGACGCAGTGAAAAGACAGATGTCTATAAACCAGGAGGCAGCCACTTACCAGACAATAAATCTATTGGCACCTTGATCATGGACTTCCTAGCCTCCAAAACTGTAAGAAATAAACTTCTGTTGTTTATAAGCCAACTTCTGTTGTTTATAAGCCACTTAGTCAATGGTATTTTGTTATAAAAGTCCGAATGGACTAAGACAAAGAGTGAAGTACTAAAAAGCTGATTGGAAATTTTTTATACACAGACGGGGCTTGTTGACTGGGCTTTCAATGTAGGATGATTGCTTATGGACTCAGACAGTTCTTTATGGGATCCCTCAAATGTCAATATTTTGCCATTCTAATCTATCTTCTAAAATTATATTGACATTTGTTGTCTGCTATTAGCTTCTCTCCTGGTCTTTTTTTTTCCATTGGGTTTATAAAATTTTTACACATTTACATTCATTAAAAATTTTTTTAGTGTATTTTTTAATCCTTACCCAAGAATATGTTTTTTATCGATTTAGAGAGAGAGGAAGGGAGAGAGAGAAACATTGATGAGAGAGAGAAACGTCTATTGGCTGCCTGCCATATGTGCTCCAACCAGGGATCAGGCATGCCACCTAGTATGTGCCCTAACCAGGAATCGAACCCACAACCTTTTGGTGTATCGGACGATGCCCCAACCAATTGAGCCACCAGGCCAGGGCATTAACATTTTTTTTAGTGACGTATATGTGCATTCAGAAAAGTGACCACAAACATGCAACCTAAACACACATGTAGATCAGCACTCACATTAAGAAATAGAACATTATCAGCACTTGGTGAGCCTCTCTCTGTTCTCCAGTCATTACTCCAAGAGTAACGACTACATCGACTTCTAACAGCATGGATATTTGGGTGGCTTCCAGTTTAGGGCTAGTACAAAGTATGGGTATGAACTTTTTTATACAGGTCCTTTTAGTGAACATAGGGACACATTTCTGTTGGGTATACACGCCTAGGAGTGAAACTGATGGGACAGAGGCTTTGCATATATTCAGCTTTAGCGGATACTGCCAAACAGTTCAACAACGTGATTGTACCACTTTATGTTCCCTTCAGCAGCATATTAGAGTTCCAGCTGCCCCAAAGTCTTCCAATACTTGGTCTTTTCTGTGAGTTTTTTTTTTCTTTTCATTTTAGGCTTTCTGGTAATGGTACCTCATTGTGGTTTTAATTATTTGCATTTACTCTTTACTTTTTTGTTGTTTTTTTTAATGTGTTTTGGGGTCGAGCAGATGAAAATGAAGGGGATTAACCCCCTACATCTGCCAGAAATTTCCCCTTTATGGGTACTTGTCTAATGGAACTTAGAACCTCCTTCCTGTACTGGAGGGAATATACTATAGAGGGTGAGAGCAACACGCTTTGCAGTCAGACATACTGAGGGGTTTTTGTTTTTTTTTAATTGATTTTAGAGAGAGGAAAGGAAAGGGAAAGAGAGAAAAACATCAATGATGAGAGTCATTGGTCGGCTGTCTCCTGCACGCCCCCTGCTGGGGATCGAGCCCCC